GTTTTTGCTCATATTTTCTTTCTGTAATCTAGATCGCAGATTAGAAACTGCAACTGTTAAATAAGCCTATCAAAGATGTCATCTGAAATTTTTTTACTTCCCTTTTTAGTTCTCTAATAGGGTGAAATCTTGATTAACAAAATGCCCTGGCAAGTCCCCTCTGTGTGAATGCAGCCAGATTCAAAAGAACATGTGTTCATGAATCATGCATTAGACCTTTGTCTGCACACCATCCGCAGCCCTCGCCCTAATCGTAGTTTAAACCCAAGTGCAGGCAACATTTGGAAGCCAAGGACTGTCTTCTTCAGCCCAGCCATGGTTTCCTCTCTCTCCTTTCTCTTTTTATAAATGAAAAAGTCCCTCTTTTCACTCCCCACCTCCTTTCCAAACGGGACGGAGTGGTCATTTTTATTTATGGTTTGAAATGTTATCACCACCATGCTTTTTCGCTTAAAGCCTGTGATGTCTAGCTGTGAGATAAACATCTTTTTCCTACTCAGTTTAAGAAATTTTCGGCATGATTGAATGAGGGGTGAGGCAGGAGGGAAGGAGGGTGGAATGTGTACAAGTGGTTACTCAATAGGCTGAACTTGGACGAGCCAGCTGATGAGCCCGCCGTGCTCGCCCAGATGGAGAGCGAGCGGGAGACGCTCACAGGGACAGCGGCCTCAGCCCTCTCCTTCCCGCCTTCTCCCTCGTTATGCTTCTGATTTCTGCCAACCCTGGCTGTGTCTCTCACCTCCAGGGACACATTCTTTTTCCTGCCTAAAGTGTGGAAAAAATGTCTTGTTGTCAGAGTTTTGTTGAAATAAAATTGGCACTTGGAAGAAGCCACATTTGCTGGGAAGCTTAGGAGGGGTGCAACTGCACAAAGTGCTGAAGTGAGCAAGTTCTTGGGGTGTGGGCTGGGACCCGGTGTGCACTGGGGGGAGAGAGGGCTGAGGAAGCACAGTGGTTAGGGGCTCAGTGTGGCTGCCCAGTCCAGGCTTCAGAGGAACACCTCTGCGCCAGGGCGCAGTTTCTCAGTGTCGCCCACAGGCCGAGTGCGCCGCATTCTGGGGTGCCGCTGAGATCCCCACCCGTCACAGGGCCCGGCCGAGTGAGGTGGGCCCAGAGAACTGCATTTTAACATCTGCTCCAGGCTTGTGCTCTTCAATCTGAATAGCAACTACTTAAGGTTCTGGTGCGTAGTGGGTCAGCTCCCCACATCATGGATTTGTGCCTACGTAGGGTGCCTAGGATGCTGTGACTGACCCACCCCAGCCACACACGTCAGAAACTGGAACATAAAGCAGACGCCAGTTCAATCACTGGCCTGTAGGGGTGTGAGGACCCTATGGTAGCACAGGGGACAAGTGGGTATGTTCTCTATTCCTTTTCTCACTTGGCCTTTACACATACGATTGTTTCCTCCTGTCCCGGTTCCCCTTCTGAGAAAAGTACGTGCAGTAAAGATTTCTCTTTGAAACAAGGCTCAGCTGTCAACCCGCTCCAGAAAGATTTCCACAACTCCTACCCTCCTCCCCGACATGGCCGACCTCTACAGCCCTAGGCGGTAGTGCATAATGCACACGTGATTTACTTAGTTACGTGGGTAGCTCTCCAATTAGACAGTGAATATAAATGTCCTTATAAAATTGAGCCAAGCCTAGTGCCTGGCCTGGAGTTACTGCTCCCTAAAGGACTGTCACGTGGGGTGAGCTAGATCTTCTGAGGGTCCTAGACACACACATCGTAGTCTTCGTCATCTCTGCCGTAAGGAAGGGCTGAATTTGTTTTTGTGTAAAATTAAGTATGTTAGTATTAGATCCGTCTTCCTGTGATCCTTAGAAAAATGCGTTTTACAAGCAAAATAAGGGCGCCTGGGTGGCTCAGTAAGTTAAGCCTCCAACTTTGGCTCAGATCATGATCTCACAGTCCCTGAGTTTGAGGTTCACGTCGGGCTCTGTGCTGACAGCTCGGAGCCTGGAGCCTGCTTCAGATTTTGTGTCTCCCTCTGTTTGCCCCCACCCCCTCCCTCTCTCAAAAATCAATAAACATTTAAAAATGTTTAAAGCAAAATAAATATGTTAGTGAGAAAATGAAAATGCTTTGGTGATCTAAATATTTGTGAAGTACATTTTTTTAATAAACGTCACGAAATAATTTAAAGAGCTCCAAGTAACTTTAAGAGGGGAATCTACTAGATTTTGGTTAAGTGCTTTAAAAAAAAGATTTTTAAATTCCCTGTCCAAATAGTTAAATTTACTGGTAGCTATTTCAAAGGAAGAGGGCCACTCTGCAATCCTTTGTTATAAAGAAAATGTTTTTGTCTTCAAGTGTTTAGAGGAAGGCAATTTATGGCTTGGGTAGAAAGTAATAAAAAGTAGTAACAACGGAGCATATTCTAAACTGTCATCATTTTCTGGAATTACTAATAATATCAACTCGGGCATTTTCTGTCCAAAAGGAATTACTTTCATTTGTCATGCTTTCGTGTAAATGCTCGTACCAATCTTATCGCTGCTAGGCTGGATTATTTGCCTTCTTCGACTGTTTCAAAACAGGTGTTCATTCAGTTATGTGACAGAGGGATTCTGTCATTAGATTGTTCACCACAGCGCTCAAGAAATATATATTTTTTATTTTTTTTTTTAAATTTTTTTTAAGGTTTTTTTTTTATTTATTTCTAGAGAGA